TCCCCTCCACCATGATCGTTGGTAAAATGTAAAATAATATAATAATCCCAACATATCAATCGAAAGTTGTGGCAGATCAGCTAGTATACAGATGAACCTAGTTATTTTGGCCATGGTCGGTAATAAATGTTGTTTACTCAAGAAGGATTGAAGTTCATCTAGGACCTGTAAAACAGTACACATTATTATTTCTATTTTGTGGGTGGTAAGACTGGAAGTGGGCATACTAATGCATGCACATCTGTCAGCTTGTAGAAAATATCCACTATGATAGGTCTCCAATTTTCTGTACATCTAGGAATACTAGGTTCGTTTTGTTGATTTTGCTGTTATCCATGTCAATTAAATATATTGTTTATCTATTGAGGTGTTAGTGGTACGTTGAGGTTTGTATTTTTTTATTTACAAAAATTGTGGGTAATTTTACGGTTTTCTGTCTTCTTTCAATCGATCTATAGCTACCTATAGCTAGCAATCAACCTGTGTCTGGTGACACTAATTATATACCTCACTGGAGGGAAACAACCACCTTCATCTCTGATTTAGAATTCCAACAAGAAAAAGAAATTATTCAATTCAAGATATTTTATTGTTTCAAAACACTGAGATTAGACAACAGGCATAGGCCTATATGTCTTCTCCCAAAAAGAAATCAGATACTGGTGCTCCACAGAGGTAATACCTAGTCAAATGTTTTGAAAGAGTTTGGTATTAATAGATTCAGAGATTAAATTTAGATAACTTAAGAGTGTTGAACAGTACTTAGTATGATTCTGTATCTTCATTTTTTTTAGAGATGAAAGGACAAAAGCTGAGGAAACAAAACAGTTTACATGCTACAGTGCCATACAGAGAAACACACATATTTAATAAGCATAGATGTTTTTTTCAATAGGACAAAAAAATCTTCTGATTTCAATCTTCGTGCAAGAAAACCGTGATTTCAAAACCTCTAGATTTAGGTGCTTGCAACTGCCATGCTGTTCTCATATAATTTGAATTACTGTATTTCATCAATTAAGGACAGATGGACTCTAGACCTCATCCTCATACAAGATAAGTGCTATCACTTATTTACGCATGAAAAAAGATACAGAAAAGTTCTACAACATGTGTCTAACACATTGATGTCTACAACATTGAACTAAAATAAGCAAGGATAATTTTGGGACAGGAAAAACATGAGCCAATTTAGGCTCAATTAAAAACAAGCCATGCAGATTGACATGTCTTGCCTGTGCCCTGCTTTGACCATCAATGCACATATTGGTGACTAATTATCAAAACTTTGGTTATAACTTTTGTAGGCATTCAACATGGGCTTTGAATACATAAAACTACTTTAAACTAATATTAAATTTAAGATAGAATATAGCACATCACTGCATGACATGGTCTCTAGCTGGATTACTAGATTATAATACAGTTATGAAATAACACTTCAATGAGATGACACTTTTAAACTGGTGGAAATGCCCCTTGAGTGGCCCTTTGATTTATGATACATCATATGACCCCAGCTACTTCATAAATGAAAAACCCCAAATATATATATTATAACAAAATCTGTAACACGACTGCTCATGATCTGTCAAATCAGTCTTTGCGAATCCAGTGCGAATACATATGAATTGATCAATTCCAGAATGTTTTATGCATAAGCTTTAATGTATGTATCTAGAAAAAAGTCTTTCTAAAATGTTCAATACACAACAAAATATTAGCAATGATGGATAAATTTTACAATAGCAAATCAAAATGTCGTATTCTCTTTCATTATACTTTGAACGTGTATGACATCAAGACTAGCAATATACTATTTTAAATGAGAAGAAATATAAATTTATCTCCACCCTACATGCAATGTACACACCACACCGGTCATGTTTTGATGCAATACATACCTTCAGCAATGACATCTTCAACTGTACAGCTAAATCTTCCAACATTGAAGACTTTCCCAATATGAGGGTTCTGTTGTCCAGTGTCTATCTTCGAGAATAGTTTCTTCATCGTGTCGGTTTAGTGTCTACTTTCACTATATAGGAATGTCAGTAGTGTCGAATGTGAAGGATATGAAGTAGGCGGATTTTCCCTGAAATAATTTCATGTGGTCAGGGTCGACCCTATTTTCCTGAATTATGTCTTGACCATTACTTCCGCACGACAAGCATAGCTACTGTAAACGCAGACAATAGTGGACTACTACAGATCCGCGATTCAGTGCATTGAAGAAGGTGACAGTGACATTATCGATGAATCAGAAGGTGTCATCGAGCACCTGCTACCAAAATATGGTGGAAATCTCGCCTCATAAGTAAATCACGTGACTAAAGCTACAAACAATTAACATCTAAAACTGCTTTTATATACATATCACGCCATCAAATTTTGTTCACTACACGCCTCTTGTAATCTTTAGCATCATACACAAAGTAAGATTGAGAGATAACTTTTAAATACATCGTTTTGGAATCTACTTCCGGCAAAATCTTCGCAAATTCTCGCGAGAGCATCATTTATTGACAATATGGAGGACAACGCGGGAGATAAAACCTCAGAGCCGGAAAAAAACGAAAATTCATATCAACAGAGGTCGGCATCAATACATAAGTCTTCACACTTAATATTTCTTCACCGCTTATTTTCATTTTATGTTAATTTTTGATCTTCTGATGATAGATATTAGATATTTGGAGGGTCGCATCCTGACTGTACTGTAGACGTTTGTGTGTTGCAGCAGCTGACGGCTCATTTATCAACAACAAAAATGCGTTTATAGATCATCATAAATAAAGATCATGTTTTATTCTGATTTTTTGAAGTATATTTATGAAGCGGTGAAAATCACACCCGGTTCGAAAAATAGCATCGCAGATAAACATAAACATACATGCAGTAGTGTATAATAGTAGTTACCTCCCTTCTTAAATGCTTACAGTATAGCACTTTTATTTAGGACTCTTTTTGTTTATGCAAAACAACAGGGTTGTTTTCTTTTAAATCTATCATTTTTAGGTATGTTCAAATGTTGTTCTGTTTAATAAGCTTTATCGGTTAATCTTATAAAGTTTAACTGACATGTTTTATTTAGATTTAGAAATAATTTATTTGTTTTTGAGAATGCTGTTTTGTTATTTATCAGGCTCAGTTGTAAACATCAGGTTAAAGTTAAAATCTTTCCAGTTTTCATAGGAAACAACTGTGTTTAAACCATTTGAACAAGTCTACTCATTCAGCAATTGTTTCCTTGTCCTTTTCTATAGTAAGAAGATCAAACCAAATATAGTCTTGTTTGTTGACAACCTCTGTGATTTAGCTAATGTAATGTTCAAACATTTACAATTATCACCATCATTGTAACCCATGGCTGACCGCAGTGTGTTCTCACAGATCAACTTAAAAATATTTTCTTTGAACATTTCAGTATTTCGATCGGTATTAATATGGATGTAGATCTATGTAGAAACTATTAAACAATGATTGCTGAATGACACTTTTTTAATATACAATTTATATATTTTAGAATGGATAGTGATATGGATACCACCAACAGTGATGCTCCTGTTCAAACAAATTCAGCTAACACAGATTCTCAAGACATGGTAGATCAAGGTAATTTAAATGAAGAGAACTGTTCAGTTCAAATGAGGTGAATTTTCACCTAACCTATGTGTAACAGAGCGCATGATTAATTAAATTTAAATCACTGCCTCCGCTATGGATCGAACCCGGGACCTCTGGCTTACTAGTCTTACGCTCAACCGATCAAGCTAAAGAGAGTTCTCCCTAGCCGAGCGATATATTGCGGCTAGTATTTAACAGGGTTACATATGTAAAAATTATTTAACAATTTATATTTATCAGACGTTATGCCAAGATCTGTTTGAATCAACTGAATTTGTTTTTCATTTTGTACAATTTGCTACATATCATATTGTATCATTTTCAGTAGACTTCATAAAATATAAAAAAACAACCTGATTAGATTTTGGAAAGTTGGTCAGACACTGTGCTGTCCCAGAAATGATGCTAAATCCCAAGAAGGTAGAGCTCCAAACACACTGCATGTATGTGATTCCATGTCAGTACATGTACAGTGTTACAGTAAGATGGGTAACAAGCTTGTACCAGTTTTATTAAAGTTCATGCTCTAAAATTATCCTGTCAGACACCCAAGTCCAAATTTTCGAGCTGGCCAGTTTGACAGTCAAAAATTTTAACAAAGTCCGTTATTTTCCCTAAAATATGGTTACCTAGCATAATTTTTGAGCTTAGAAAAGGGTGGTCAATGATTTTGTTTGGTAGGTGATCAGCTTATACATTTAAACAATATAGGAAAAACTATTTTGGAGGAATGATAAGTGGTCATCTGGTAGAGATGACCGCAGTAGCAGGTTAGACTACCTAATTCAGCTCATTTTACCATAAAGTTAACAGAACATCTCAAAAACCTTTGTTTCATTAATTAGCTTTATTTATTTTACAACAACCATGAAACAAATTATTCAACTTATACTTATCACTCTTGATGTTAGTGACAGGGGGGTCTTAATGTTGGAGAAGCTGGAGTACCCGGAGAAAACCCACTTGGTTGGGCAGGTGACCCCATACCTTTTACGTCTGCCCGGGGAATCAAACCCCAGTGTTATCCACTGCACAAATTTCCATGCTTTTCCAGGTATTACACAAATTCCAGGAGCTGCAACAAAATTGGATTCCGGAGAAACTCCCACTGATGCTTTATCTCTGTGCTATTGGTAAGACATTACTATAGGGATACATAGTAAACAATAGAGATTTTTTCCTGCTGTCAGCAATTTTCCTGTTGACTGCATTCTGTAATCGTGGATGTTTATATAGAAATGAAAAAATAATGTTTATCATCACAGTTATAAACAGTTTTATCAAACAAGTTGGAGGAAAAAGCACAAGGTATCAATCATAAAACTGAGATATTTTGAAAATAAACTTACTTTCGTTTTTGGCAGACTATTAGGGTTATATTGAGCTCAGGAAAAATGAGTTAATGTACATACAAATAGTCATATCACGTACATACAAATAGTCATATCACGAACATGAAGAGAATTTATAAAGCTGACAGACTGTTGATCTAGTTTCATGATTTCTCAGATCACAGATAAAATGTTACTACAAATATTAACATAGGGATTAACACTGACTTTATATTTCAGTGGGAAAGGAAGGAATCTGGGTGCAGTGGAGTTACAGTGTGGATTTTGTTACAAATGGTTTCATTCTGATTGTATTGGCTGCTATATTGGGTATGGAAAACTTCATTGAACACTAATAGTTTGAATATGAGGTACAGTATCTGTGTAAAAGAAAGGTTATGTATGTTATTAGAGATTAAGACTTGTAATAACTCTAGTAAGGCCTTGACATTTATTCATTACAGACTCTGTATCCAATACCAGAATCCAATACAGAGAAAATCAGTATTGTACATGAGAAAATCAGTATCCAGTACAGAGAAAATCAGTATCCAGTACAGAGAAAATCAGTATCAATTACAGAGAAAATCAGTATCCAGTACAGAGAAAATCAGTATCAATTACAGAAAAAATCAGTATCCATTACAGAGAAAATCAGTATCCAGTACAGAAAAAAATCAGTATCCATTACAGAGAAAATCAGTATCCATTACAGAGAAAATCAGTATCTAGTACAGAGAAAATCAGTACCCATTACAGAGAAAATCAGTATCCAGTACATTGAAAATTTGTTTCAGGACATGTATACCTTTCATGACAAATTACCAGTTTTCCTGCAAGCAGTGCAGTCCAAATGGTCTGGAATATTTCAACAGAAAGCAAGCTAGTAAGTTTATTACCATTATGTTCTGATTTTATGTAAGTTTGTAGCATATTTCAAAGTAGAAATTGGAAAGGTATGGAGAACTGTGAGACATGGGTATTAAGGTATGGAGAACTGTGAGACATGGGTATTGAGAGGGAAACAAGTTTGGATTTCGAGGATGTCTACATTATTAACTCAAACCCCTGTGTGAAATATACAGAAGTGTACTCAACATTTAGCTTACCGGGTACTTACCGAACTTACAAACATTTATTGCAGAGTAACTTTGTGGTAAAAGTAATAAGAACTTGCACTGACCTTTATTTTAAAAAATAGTGGATTAAAGCACCAAAGTTTGAAATGTTCCATTCAAAGTCTTTATTGAATTTGACCAAATGCAGGATGCAGGGAATGTTGGTGATTTCAAAAACTAAAATAATTCTCTTTGAATTTTTCTGTGAAAAATAGGTAGAGTAGTCAAGTATTAGATTGGCAGGGTGTTGATATTATGTGGGTGTAGAAAGGTTGCTCCTAGAAGATATTTATATGCATTGTATTTCAAAGATGTTTAAACGTTGTTTTGTTAACCATAAATAATGCTCTCTTTTTAATCAGGTTTTACACAGATTTGTTACACCACTATAGCCAACTTAACCAACCAGGCCAGAAATCGTGGGGAGGAAAAGATGCTGTTCTCAAAAGAAAAGGTTTGAAAAACTAGGACTCTACTTGACCATTAAATTATAGGAACCTTACTTGATTTTGACCAAGAAAAGAATAGGTGCATCGGTAATGCTACCGGCATACTTTGTTGATGTCTTAAAGAAATTTTCAGACCATAGGGAACTGAAGAATGTGTGTCTTTATCAGATTTAATGATTCTTTTCAGTGTTCTACATTCAAGACATTAATTAAAACAACTGACATTCATTAAAATGTATTGTTAAAAACAAATTTCTAATATTGTCAATGGAAATGTATTTTGTAATAGATAATATATAACATAACAGGTACAAGTCGGATAAACAATGGATATATGTATTGTTTCCTTTTTCAGGAAATTATACCATACATTGAAAAGCAGTGGGAAAACTTAACAACCATGGCAAGGAGAATAAAGACAACGTGGCACACAACTGTCACAAAAACCCTGGTAATACATAACCTCAGAATCATTAAATACAACATGGCACACAACTGTCACATTAACCCTGGTAATACATAACCTCAGAATCATTAAATACAACATGGCACACAACTGTCACATTAACCCTGGTAATACATAACCCCAGAATCAATTGATACACAACACAAACACGAGTATTATGTGAATTGACCTACTACACAAATTAATAACCTTGCTTTACAAGCTGATACAATGAACACAAACACTAGTACTGGTTCACTCAGATACATATTTGACACTTCAATTCTGTTTAGAGGTGTCATTGGTTTCAATTTTTGACACTTGTAGTTTACATTTTTAGGTCACCTGAGACAAAGTATCAAGGGACCTATTGCGATCGCCTTTTGTCCATCGTCGTGCGTCCGTAAACAATTTACATTTTCGACTTCTTCTCCAAAACCCCTGAACCAATTTCAATGAAATTTTGCAGGGACCTTCCATGGACAAAGGTCAACAAAAATAGTGGCTGGTTTAGTCCCAAGCCCCCAGGGGCCTGAGGGGCGGGGCCAAAAAGGGTCAAATTGACTAAAATTTCAAAAATCTTCTTCTCCAAAACCCCTGAACCAATTTCAATGAAATTTTGCAGGGACCTTCCATGGACAAAGGTCAACAAAA